TATTCGATCTTGGAGATAACCCGTAAATTATTTTCTCTTGCCTAGGAAGTTGGATTTAGTCCGTCTGAGGTGTTCATCAAAAGAGTAGTAGCAAAAGCTGGTGATTGCGTTGAAGTAAGAAACCTTTTGTGCTTTTAGAATAAATCATTGCTTCATCTTCTCCAATCATGTGTCCAACTTTTATGTTTTGGGCAGGTTCATGGTGGAAAATTGTTGGTCAATGGTGTAACTCAAGACGAGGACTTCATCTTGGAGCCAATTGAGTATTTAATGGACCCAATGGTAAATCCTTGTGCTTTTTTTCTAACCTTTTAAATTACCGCCTTCAGTTTATAATTTGAAGAAGGTTTATGGTTTTCTTTCTTTTGTAGCTTGTACCGGAGGACTGCGTGTTTGTGTTAGGGGACAACCGAAACAATAGTTTGGACTCTCATAACTGGTAATCAATGTGCTTACACACTATACTATAATCCGTCCCTGCAAACGTATTCCTGTTGCTTTCTGTTCTGATGGATATTATTTATTATCTGTAGTTCTTCCTTGTGATTAGTGTGTACTCCCACATAAGAACTAGGCTATTAGGATTAATTACAAAAGATTCACTTGAGGTTAGATTACTGTAAATTAATTATATCCACTTTATGAATTGAACCTCACTTCAAAAATACAAAATCTCAAGGGTAATTGTGATTAAGGGGGTTTCTTGTAATTTGGAAGATATTTAGGATTTAGGTTTTGTTGTTATTAGTCGAAACCTCAAGGGTAGTCTTTGAATTATCTGAGAAAAATATTTCTTTATTGAGTAACACAAAAGTTCTACAACTCTCTGATCAGATTTGTTGCTTTCTACAGGGGCCCACTGCCTATCGAGTACATTGTTGGTAGATACCTCTTCTGCTACTGGCCTCCATCAAAAGTATGCGACACTCTTCACAGCACTCCCCAGCAATGGGGTGCTGCTGCATTTTCGTGAAAACCCTCCACAACAAACTTCTTTCACCGATTTCTGATTTTTGCCTCAAAAATCTTACTCCCGCCCAACTGGGCTTGATCTTTGTACCTTCTGAATTCCCTATCACATGACTGCTGCAAATATTCTCAGGCTGGTTCTCAAAATCTCCCTCACATAATCATTCGACTTTGTTTTGTGGATCCAATCTAATCCAAACCGAAGGATTACTTCGTTTGCTGGTAGTCTCTTATATTCAAACACACACAAGGCACACGAGTTTTTTGGTTGAAGGTGGAGCCTAGACTGGTATTTTGACAATAAGGATATTCATATT